AGAAGGGGGAAAAGGGTTATTTGAGAACAGGAATCTGATGAGGAACAACAGAGAAAAAGGATCTGGGATATACTTATGGCACCTACAGATGAGGACTCATTTGAGGGGTTCTCTGGGAATGAAGGATCAATGAGTGAAGGAGAAGAAGGAGACACAATGGATTGAACTAGGGGAAGAAAAAGGGTTACTTGGGAACAGGAATTGGATGAGGAATGGCAAAGAAAGAGGAAAGAGGATATACTTACGGCACCTACAGATGAGATTCATTTGAGAGATTCTCTGGGGATGATGGGTCACAGATTGGGGAAGACAGGGATGACAACGTGGATTGGACTAAGGTAAAGGAAGTGCAAGCTATTTGTGCAGAGCCAACATCTAGTGATACATTTATGGGATTCTCTGGGACTGAAGATTGGCAATCGGGGAATCCAACTGAGTCTTGGGGGATCTAAGTCTTGACAGGAGATGGAGAAGATGGAGGGGTGGGCGTAGGACTTCACATGAAGTGTTGGGAGCAGCTGCAAGGGATAATCATGGGGCAGTGGTCAGTTCATCTGATGATGATGATGATGATGATGATGATGATGTGTAGATAAAAGTGGGTTCAGGAATGAGGGATCTTTGCAGAAGGCAAGGTGTTGGTGAACGTTTGTGCATGGGTACTGTCTGGACTTGTCGCTGCCTGTTTCGTGTTCGGCATTGGTTTGGGATCTGCAGGTTACTGTTCTTGATAGTGTGTGCTTTTGACTCGGATTGGATTCTTGTGAGTGTGGATTTCTCCCTTCCTGGACCTTGGACTGGCTTGACTATGACGCTGCTTCTGTGGACTTTGGAGTTTCGCTATTTCGGATTTCTCTTGCTATGACCCTGGACTTTGCCTGACTATGCTTCTCTCCCTGCGGCTTTACTGCTTTTGTTTGCCAGTTGCATGCTGTGCCTTCTTTGTGTAACCTCGGAGTACTGTGTTTGATTCGGTTCTTTAATCTGGTTAATCCGGATTATATTTCTGTTTACCTTTTGAACCAGGTTTGGTTTTACATTTGAGTTTTGACCGGAGGCATTGAGTTTAAGTGTCTCTGTGTCCTTTTCCTTTACTTCAATAAACTCTGTTTGGGAACTAACTCTGAGTCTGGCCCTTTAAGGCGTCTGTGATTCCGACATTGCATCTTTTGTTGTTTAAGTAGAAGACCACTACAACTGTGTTTTTGGATACCTGGTTCTTTAACCATAACTAATAGAGTTACTTCTGCAAGAACCCCTGACAAATATGATATCTCTATGCATTTCCATGTCTTTCAAAGTGAGTCTATGGTCAGCTTCAACTAGACGTTGACCGTAGAATCACACTGGTGACCTAGAATTCACCAGAGAGAGCATTTCTCTAGGGATCTTTAGTCATCAGGCATTGTGCCCAGAAACATGTTGGCAGCCAATGGAGCTGCTGCAACAGAGGCGTTGCCTGCTCCCTGTAGCCAACCCCAGTTATCAGTCTGACTGCTGTGCTTCTGAATGAAGTTTCTGAGCACTTTTAAAAGGCAGCCCCATGTAGAGCACATGACAGTAGTCCAACCAGGATATAACCAAGGCATGTACCGTTGCGGCCAGATCAGATTTCTTCTGGAATGGGTGCAGTTGGTACACTAGCTTTAACTGGCCCTCCAGGTTCAGAGCTGAATCCAGGATTAGCCCCAAATAGCAAACGAAATCTGTCTTTTGACTTACCAGGGGCACCTCCATCTTGTCTGGATTAAGCTTCAATTTGTTTGCCCTCATCCAGTCCATTGCAGCTGTCAGGCACTGGTTTGGCACAGGAAAGGCTTCCTAGAGTCCTAGAGATGTTCCTGAGGTGTTTTTTAATTCATGGTTTTCACACTTTCATGGGGGTCCTGTACCCCTAACCCCAGCCTATGTGAAGGACTAACTATAGTCTAATGTATCTTCTATTACAACGCTTTTTTGGGGAGAGTTGAATGCATTCATTTTGCGTCATTTATGAGTTCAGTTTAGAAAGTAACAAAAGCAACATTTCCTGGTGACAGAAATAGATGGAGCAAGTTTTCCCCTCAAGGAAAGCATTTAAGCTTAAATGCATTGTGCTACAGCATCTCTTTACAACAAGCCATTTCTTGTACCCATTGAAGCCCTCTCCATGATAGTTTCTGTAACTTATCAGTGCCATCCTCTGTTTGTCTTCCTGTGCTGCATGTGGGCTCTGCCAAGACATGTTGTACAACAGTGAGACACATTTTGATGGGCTGTATGCAAACATTTACATAACACCAGTCTCAGTTCAATGTACTCCATGTACAGAGTTTATGTACTTTGTTCCTAAAGGGATGTTGGATTTGCTCTACATTGGACCTCCTGTCCTTGGTATTCCCAAGTGAAAAGACAGTAAAATTGCTGATTCTGGCATTGATAATAATTCTCAGATCTCTCTGCCTTCCAATATAAAGGCTCCAGCATCTTGCTCTTAAGAGTTTATGGGAGAACTGTATTGCTCTAATGAATTAAAACAGTTCAAATCCTAGAGTCTGTATTATGACAGATCTACATCTTGGGAAAGTATCCTATATGGATCCACCTATTCAGGATCCCTGTCAGTTCTGTAAGTCAGCTTGGGAACCTCCTATAGGTACTGTAATGGAAGTATTCCCCATTGTCATGATTGCCATCCTTTTGCAGCCATGGGAACTTGTGTTATTTGAACTCTAATTTAGGGTTAGCGATCGTGTGGCTTTCCAGCTGTGGTTGAACTGCAAATCCTATTATACTGAGAATCAGGATCATGTAACATGTGAAGAATTATATACTCCCAAACTCTCTTTTAAGTCATCCTGGCCAAATGCCTGCTGATTTCTTCAAACCAGAAGTGGATTTGCTCCTGTTTTTCATTTCATTTTTGTTTTGCATTTTGACCATCTATGAGGCCTCTGGAGGGTCCCTAGGGCAGAAAACTGGCTTCTGCATGTAATGGAGTTGGTCAGCCCTGTTGTACATCCCCCTAGCATGTAAATGCACCTTAAAAGTGCAGTCCTGATCTATTCCAATTGCTTTATTTTCGACGGCATTTGCAATGGGAGCATCACTTAACAATGGTTGCTTCTATAAGTTTCAAGGAAGGAGGGGGACCAGCAACATTCTAGCGATGCGATAATTATTCTACAGAGAGCCATGCAGCTGGCATGTTAGAAAATCATAAAGCACACTAATTAGCGTTCTGGGGTTCTCTGTGCTGCTCTGCAATAAGCCTTGCCCTGTACAAGCTGGGGACATGCATGAATCTCTGAGATAGCAGAAGGGGCAGCCTCGCTGTGGTCTCTCTGCCTGATCTCTTTGCTTGAAATTCTCAAGACATATATGAAAAGAAGAAGAGGCTGTGTATGTTTCTATGGACCTAATCACTTTGAGATCCTGAAGCCAGGGAATGGCGGGAGCATTTGTTGGGCAGCAAGAAAAACTGGGGAGAACATGGATGAGCTTCCTCTGTCAGCTCCAGCTCCCCAGAAGCCTCCCACGGGGATGGTAAAACATCAAAACATTGAGACATCCCAGGCAATGTCCTTGCAGACGGCCCATTCTTTCACACCAGAAGCGACTTGCAGTTTCTCAAATCACTCCTGACATTAAAAAAAAAATCCGACCAGTGCTTTTAAAAAAAAATCTGATTGTAAAGGGTACTGGTATATTTTTCCCAATGTGTTAGGAAGCAGCGCCATGTAGGCATCTCTTAAGTAAGAAAGCCCTCGACAAAGAAGATCTTTTTTGAAAAGTCTTTTTATACCCACTCAGCCCCCCTTTTTTTCTCCTTATCCTCTACATGCTAGATGTTTCTTAACTACATCAGCATTGAGAAGATAGTATAGAAGGGCAGAAGAAACACTTTTTCCTCTCAGGTTGCACCGGCAGGTCCAGTATAACCAATGCAATAAAGTTTGGGCTGGGGAAGAATGGGTTTTTACTTTAGCCACTCATACCATAGCTGTGCAAATCTGCCTAAAATAGACCAGGTAAACAGGCAGGTACCACCAGAATGCTTTATGAGCAGCAAAACAGCGAGAAGGAGATGAGCAGATAAACTGTGTCACCAGTTACCCCAGCATGTTAAAAACAAAAAACACACATTTGGCCTCTGAAATATAAATCATAATAAAAGTGGTGAAAGAAAGAACATGTATCCCTGGATGCATTTTCAAAGAAGCTTTCAGGACATGTCTAAAAGGTTCAAAACATTTTTGTTTGTTTTTTTCAAGGTTTATCTAAACCAGGGTTTCTTCATTCTACAAGTGTGTGTTGTTTATTTTGAATGATAAAACTTCACTGAAACAGATCAAACTGATCATCTTTTTAAATGTTTTGATTGAGAAATTGCAAGGAATAATAGACAGACAATATATGTGTATTTAAAACACAGAGACACAAAACAAAGGCAATAACAATAAATGATACATCAAACTACTCTTCTTGTTTATGGTGTTGGAACCTATCACTGTCCCATGTTGTTTCTATCTCTGCTACCAAATTTTCTGTCAAATGGTAATTGCCATCTACTTTGTGAACAGTGATGCGTCTGTATTTGTTCAGCACCGGCTGCTATTCTGTCTTTATTTTTTTCTTTCTTTCCTGAATAGTTGTTGCAAACAGTCAGCCAGTAGCTTATGGACCAGCACTGGTCCCATGGACTACTATTCTGAATTTAACTTCATTGGGCAAACTGCACCCAAGACTAGGTCCTACCTTCCCTTTCCATCATTTGTATTGCGCAAGCTGGGGTGATTGAACTGAATGGAGACAATTGAGAAAGGAAGTAAATAAATGGCACACAGTTCCAATAGGAGCTAAAAAAAACCTGGGCAAAGAACCTGCCATCTCAGAGTTACTTCATTTTGTAAATACCTCTGGGAGGCGGGAAAGAAAGAAAAGAAGACCAATCAGTGATGATAGCATAAAGGCAAAGAGGCTCTTCTGTTAACAGCTAACATGTGTTTTTTTCTTCTCAGGGGCACCTTCCCGTGATGTCCTCCTGGTCTCAGCCATCATCACCATCAGCCTTAGCGTCACCATTGTCCTGTGCGGCATCTGCCAGTGGTGTCAGCGCAAACTGGTAAGTCAGAACAATGCTGAAAGCAGAGGCACAGAACAGATGGGAAAAGACACCCCCCCCCCCCTTCCTGGACAGACCAGCTGTTTAGTAGTATGAAGGTTTCAAAGTCCCGTAGGCTAGAATAGACTATGGAACAGACTGCAAAGGAGAATGCTCCCAGAGATACGTAGGGAGGCAGGGGGAGGAAATCAAGCAGGAGTTTAATTAGAAAACTGGCTGCTCATAATCATGGTGTTTGCACAGTGCCCCCTAGTCCTTGTTAAATGCTTGGGGCACAACACCAGCAATTAATGTGGTTCTGTAGTATTCTTCCAACAGCAATAATTGCAGGATCGGAAACAACATAGAGAGGGGTCAGGCCTACCTGTAGACTGAAACAGGGGTAGAGGCAGAAAGGAGGAAACAAAGGAGGAATGAGGCAAATGGATAATCACTGATCTTAGAGGCAGGGAGGGAAAGGAATGGGGTTGAAATATAATTATCTAATGGGATAAGGAGAAAACTAGAAATCTGGCCATCTTGCCTACTCTGCTTGATAAATTTGACTAAAGATAAATGGTACTTTCACATCACACAATTGTAATTCTGTGACTTTTATTTAACCAATCTATGGAATCCTGGAATTTGCAGTGTAGGGAGTGGCATACCCTAGAGCAGAGTTTCTCAAACTGTGCTCCTCCAGATGTTTTGGACTTCAGCTCCCACAATTCCTAACAGCTGGTAAACTGGCTGGGATTTCTGGGAGCTGAAATCCAAAACACCTGGAGGAGCACAGTTTGAGAAACACTGTACTAGAGACACCAGGTCCCATCTTATCTTGGAAACTAAGCAAGGTCAGCCATAGTCATTAGTTAGGTGGGAAGCCACCAATGAATACCAGGTGATATAGGCTATATTTCAGATGACAAAACTTGGAAAATCAGCTCAGAATATTCCTTGTCTAACAAAACTCTATGGAATTCATGGGGTCCTCATATATTGACACATATTTATAATTCTTAGCCTGCAAACCTCAAGATTCCATAGGATGCAGCCATGGTAGTTAAAGTAGAATCATAGCACTATTAAAATATGTATGACCCCAAAAACACTCTCTCTTACAATGTAAACTGCCCATATTATGCTATGGGTCATGGAGAAAAACATCTTTCTCAAGCCTATAATCAAATTACAAATCCTAAGATTCTATAGGATGGGAGAATGTGATAATTAAATGCAGTGAATAGTTACACAGCATTGAGTTGTTTATTCCTGCAGTATGCAATGTGTGTGTGTGCAAGTTTAGATGTCCCTTCTAATGCTGTTTCTATGATTCTGCAAACAAATGGCTGTAACTTTGCAGCCCTAGGACTGCTACACAGAAAATTGTACTTCTGTACTTTCTATGGTTGTATAGAAGATGGAATTTAATCAGATGCTGCTTGCCACACAACCAGGTAATAACCAACACATGCTGAAATTTCCTTTCTATGCAAAGATAGTCTCCCGTTTTCATTCTAGCAACCCTAAATTCAAGAATGAATTTAAATTCCTTGTCCTCACCTCACACCAGAAGCAACTTGCAGTTTCTCAAGTCGCTCTTGACACAGAAAAAAACACCTACAAATGAACAAGAAACAGAAATGTCTGCAAAGGCTACTGTTACCTACTGATAGCTGCAACATACTAGAGGCAAAACTCTCTCCCTCTTTGTATTTGTCTCTCTCTCTCTCTCACACACACACACACACACACACTAAATCCAAAGGTACTATAAGGTTCACTTTGTGAGCTATAAATTTATTCCATGAGGCTATTTCTTCTTTTCCCTCTGCCATTTATTTCAAAGGAAAGGGATCTTCTATTTCCTTACTTTCCACATACAATCTGAGAAAGAAAACTTGGCATCAAAGGAAAGAAAAAACAGAAAAAAGTATGTCTAACCTGGAGAACAACCAAAGAGCATTCTCTTTTCTTTAATCTACCAATATTGAAGTAAGCCACAGAATCCTAGCCACGCCAGACATTTAATATATTTCACAGATTAAAACCCAAAGAGGTGTGATCAAGCAGCATCAAAATGTGGTCAAGATGGTGAAAGTTACAAATCAGGAAGAACAGATAAACTAGAAGTTACTTGGTCTCATATCCTCCCATAGTTGCCCATCTCGATCTGTGGAAATAACTTTCTTTCCATTTTCAAAATTCCAAATATTACCTGAGAGGGTATACATTTTACACTCATCTTGATATCTATGTTTAAAAGACATATGTTTAAAATCTGTTAAATTTTATATAGTTAAGAAACCGGTTACTATACTCTTGTCATGCTGCTGTGGACTTTAGGTAGTTCAATAATGAAAAGGAAAAGAGATTCTATGTTCATTGAATTTTGCTGCAGTGCATGTGCAATTAAGTGGCCTGACAATTTATGGCAACCCCATGGACTTCACAGGGTTTTGTTAGGCAAGAAATATTCAAAGATCTGAAAAAGCCTAGTGTGCAAAATGTTCATTGGTGGTTTTCTATGCAGTAAGTACTAACCAAGACTGACCTTGGTAAACTCCAAGATCAAATGGGATTGGGTGCCTTTAGAGTTGGCCACATGATATAGCCATCTTAGTGAGGTTTGCTCAATCCCCCAAAGCTACTTGTATTACCTTGAGGTTTTTTGGGGAGAAGAAAGGTGGGCTATAAATATACTAAATAAAGAAATATTAACCATTATGCTTAATCCAGATTGAGCCAGGTGTGGAGGACATAAAAGACATTCTGCCGTTACAGCCAGCAGGTCTTTTCCTGGCAATGTTGTTATTCTGAAATAATCTCCCAAATGTTACCCTTTATTGTGAGGCAGTCCAATAAGCTATTATACTGTTGCTTTTTAAATTTTCCATACACTTAGTCCACAGTATTTTGCACCCTGGAGGAAGAGGATTATTTTTTCAGGTAGCATAGTTGTTTCCATTATATATGCCCTTTGGAATGGTTTTGTTGTATAAGCATCTGTGGAATATTCCTTGTGGCATATTTGACAGGTGGCAGACATCTACCGCAAAGCCTTTCATAAATTGTGACTTTTCCAATTAGTTTTAATAAAGTCACACCGAAAGCTTGGGGGCTCATTGTTTGCTGTGCCATGGTATCATGGGACCACTCCATTAGCCTTTCAAGAAAGAGTGAAAAGCTCCATTCTGTGACATTAAATGGTGACAAGTGATACAGCTTCCCATATCTCCAAGCTCATACCATTCTGTGACCTTTTTCAAAGGGATCAGCAATTGCCATAGAGTCATAGAATCATAAAGTTGGAAAGGATGCTGGGCTGCTCAGTGCAGAACACCCAGCTACAGCATCCCAAACAGATAGTTGCTCAGCCTCTTTTTGGAGATATCCAAAGAAGGACACACTCATCTTTTTACAGTTATTCCATTGCCAATCAACTCTTACCATCAAGAAGTTCCTTCTAGTGTTCAATTGAAATTTAATCTCCTATAACTTCAGACTATTAGACCTGGTCCTACCCTCTGGAGTATCCTAGTCCTCTATGTGGCAGCCCATGACACATTTAGGACCTCATCACATGGGGCTTTTGCCCCATCCTACGACACTTCCAGGATGGAACCAGAATGGAGCCTGCTGGAGCCCATCACATGATGCAGGACTACTTCAAGCAGGGCTCTGTTCTGGCTCCATCCTGGAAGTATCATAGGACGAAGCCCTGAGAACATGGGTGGAAGTTGGGCAGCAACATTTTCCCCTATGTGATGGGGAAGTGGGCAATACGGGGTGCTTAGTGCCAGTTTTCCCTACTGCCCGAAAGATTTGTCCTGCTGCTGGATTAATTCCAGTTCCCCCACTGTCCTCCAGCTTAAGGACCTCCATGTGATGAGTTCCTTTAAGAGTATAATTAGGTCATTTCCTCAGTCTTCTCTATACCAGGGTTTTGTTTTTGTCATGTCAGGAGCGACTTGAGAAACTGCAAGTCACTTCTGGTATGAGAGCTGAATGTGCCCAGCTCCTGCGTCTTTTTATCATATGCTAGCTCTCCATACCTCTTATTTTCATTGCCTTTCTCTGGACCTACTCCAGTTTGTCTATATCAGGGGTCCCCAAACTAAAGCCCGTGCATCACATGTGGCCCTCCAAGGCCCTTGACCTGTACCCCGTCCTAACTTTAGACTGAGGGTTGCCCATATCTGAAACGACTTGAAGGCGTACAACAACAATAATAATCCTATTTAACTTGACTATCTCACCAGCCAAAAGCAGACCCACATTTCCTATTGAAATACTGGAAATTTTATGTTGGTCAAAATTGTTCTCCATTTTACATATTCTATTGATATTTCATGGTTTGTTTGTTCGTTTGTTTGGATTTTATTGCATTATAAATAAAACATATGCAGTGTGCATAAGATTTTTTTTAAACTATAGTTCGGCCCCCCAACCATCTGAGGGAATGTGAACTGACCCTCTGCCTAAATGTGTGAGGACCCCTAGTCTATATCCTTCACAAAGTGAGGCACCCAGAACGGAATTTATTTATTTATTTATTTATTTACTTACTGCATTTGTAGACCGCCGTTCTCAGCCCTAGGGCGACTCACGGCGGTGTACAACATATAAAAAACAGTTTACAATAAAAGCAATATCATAAACAACAATAACAACATCACTATCAATAATACAATACAGGAATGCCTGACTAATGCAGAATGTAGTGGAATATTGCTTCCCTTGACTTGGAAACTTTGTTGTTGTTGTTCTTTTGTTCAGTCATTTCCTACTCTTCGTGACATCATGGACCAGCCCATGCCAGAGCTCCCTGTTGGCCATCACCTCCCCCAGCTCCTTCAGAGTCAAGCCAATCACTTCAAGGATGCCATCCATCCATCTTGCCCTTGGTCGGCCCCTCTTCCGTTTTCCTTCCATTTTCCCCAGCATCATTGTCTTCTCTAAGCTTTCCTGTCTCCTCATGATGTGACCAAAGTACTTCAACTTTGTCTTTAATATCCTTC